ATTTAAGAATTGCAGGGTCTAAATGTTGAAACCTCTCTGAACAATGCTAAGTTCTCAAATACCTTAGATAATCAGGGAAGAGGAGGATAAAAAAATCTCTAATTTTTCTTCTGTAAGAATATCTTCCACTTCAAGATAACCAGAAAAGATCTCCTGAATGTTATCATCACAAAGAAATGATTAATGATGAATATGCTAACAGTTCTGATTAGATCACTGTACAATACATGCATGTATTGAAACAACAAACTGATCCCCGTATACATGTACAATAAAAAATTTTTAATTAAAAAAAGAACGAAAGGAAGAAAAAGAAAGAAAGAAAAAGGTCTTCTGAGGTTGATGCCAGAGGGACTCTCCTGCCCTACAAAATGCCTGACTTTCACTCTCTATATTCCTTGAGAAGCTCTCTATTGTCCAATTTTAATGTTCAACAGTGGATTTTCCAAACATAGTAAGTCAAAAAACATGAGCAAACAATCATATNCAAACAATCATATGTAAATTTTAGAAAAATTTATTTTATCTGAAACAGTGTCTTCTAGTATCAGATGTAAATCCCTATTTCTCCTTTATTCTTCTTTTCTTTTTTTTTTTTTTTTTTTTGGGACCAGAAAGGGGAAAGAAACCCCTTGGCTTGGTGTCATCCACACGGCGCTCAGCCAGTGAGCGCACCGGCCATCCCTATATAGAATCCAAACCTGCGGCCTCGGCACTCCCAGTGCCGCACTCTCCCAAGTGCACCGCAGGGCCGGCCCTCTCCTTTATTTTTCATCAGATATTAAAAGTGGCTAATACTCAGCATGATCTGAAAACTGCAATTTCCATCTTCCTAAGTTCTATAGAAAATAATATTAAAAGCTGTTTTTAATCTGGTTTTGGTCCATGGATTCTAAGACATTTTTCAAACCTGTTTTCAAGATAGTGTGTCAAAGGGGAATTTCAATCATTTCTATTCTGTTGTATTCTCCCCTCCCTCACTTACCAAGCCATGTGAAGAGGCAAATGAGACAATACCTTTGTTCCTATTTTACTGTAATATTGTTATAAAAAATATTCTTTCTGTAAGTATATTTGCTACAGTGATAGGCACTGGGGGAAGGGAGCTGATATTTTTCTTGGTTTCTTGTTTGCCTACTTGCTTGCCTGTCTTTGTACTAGAAATATAAAACATTAATCCTATTCACATGGGCACTAAGTAATTGATGTGGAATGATGAGACCTAAGTAGAATATCCCAGTAAGTGACTGGGAAAGATTTTTCTCTATGATTATATAGAGTCAGGTAGATACTAGGAGGGTCCCTTTGCTCTTCTTGCTGCCTAACTTGGAGATGAGTATGTGAAGACTTGTTGCTTGGTTGCCATCCCAAGTCTGTGATAGGAGACATCATTAAATTACTGGAGATGGAAGAATGGAAAGATAGAGTTTGGATTTCTTTATAACAATGTTGAACCTTTTTTTTTTTTTCCTTTTTGTCTTTTTTCGTGACCGGCAACGGATCGCAACCCTCAGTGTCGCGCCTGTACCGGACCAGGACCGGCAACGGGATCGCAACCCTCGGTGTTGCTCCCGCACCTCGCTCAGCCAGTGAGCGGCCGGTCTGTATGTGGGATCCGAACCCTTGGCGGGAGCGCCGCCACACTCCCAAGCGGTGCACT